GAAAAAAAAATAGTAATCACGACGGTGGATAGTGAATGAGCGATTCAATCGGACGGAAAGACGTGGAGTATCACGATGGTCACCATACGTCTTATCTGAATTTAATTATATTACAAATATAATTAAATTTGACTTGAGAGGTTTTGTAAATTTTCTGAAACGGTGTACATAATTTGTTATCGAGCGCAAAGTATATATGTATGTGTGTATTGCAGGCCTCGGATGATTGCTTGGCGACTGCCGTGGTCACCGTGCAAGAGAAAACGGTAGAGATCAAGAAACAGAAGGTCAGCACAAATAAGTGGCTGCAGATCGAAGATTGGGCGGCGCTTTATAAAATATTGGAGCGAGCGGTTCTACGAAACGGCCGCCGGGGTGATGGATCACATCGCGAAGATCGGGGATGTGAGTGGAGAAAGTCCACTCGTCAACTCGAAATCACGTAAGAAGACAATTGTCTCAAACTGATGATCTCGTTTTGATTCTTTAGCAAATTAATTAAATCTTCTAATATAATTTCAATCAAATTTCAATCAACTAATTTGTCATCTACATATTTTGTTAACGTGAATAAAATTTGTTAATTTTTTATTATTTAATACGTAAAGAAAAATTGATGATTAGGGATGATAAATGGTTTACCTAGAAATTCGCAAGCAATTTCTTTTATTTGAATTGGTCAAAGTTTAGTTTTTATTTATAAAATCTACATTGTCATCTGAATTCAATTTAATTAGATCGTAAAGAGTCGAAGAACTTTACACATATATTTTTTACATATATATTTTGTATAATAATGTAATCATGCTATATAATAATGTAATCAATAGTAAAAATATAGTATATGTCTTTAATGTTTATAACGAGTTGAGCTTGTAGAATAAATTAAAAAGAATTATAAGACTAAAGTTAAGTTTGATTAATTCAAGAAATCTTGGGAATAAATAAAAGCAAAGAGATAAAGATGAAATATATATGATTTATTCAAATTAGATGAGATAACGTTTCACAAGATGAAGAATGTTTTTCAAATTTTACTTGATCCCCTAGCCGTCGAAACCAAATCAAAATAAAGAAAATAATTACATTACTATACTACATGAATGTTGATTGAATTATAGCATAACATTTCTTGATCTATATATTATTGAAAACATGAATTAATATGATTATTATTTTCTCTGTTTTGCTTTCGTCTCGATAGCTGAGGAAACTTAAATAAAATTCAAAACGTTTCTTTTCTTTGTAGTGTCTTATGATTTGAATAAATTACATATATATTTTATCTTAATCTCATTTGTTATTTAGCCATTATTTATTCCCAAGTTTCTAAAAAGAAACATTACAAATTTTTATTTTGCCGCAAGCTGAAACATAAAACACGAATTTTGTATAACAGGTATACTTTTGAGCATTCAGAAAGCGCAAGTGATTTGTCATCCTTGCCTACAATCAAGGTGCACGTATCACCAGCGCGAAAGAAATCGGTGAAGCGAGAAACAAATGACGAGACTTCAAAGAAAAGTAAAGCGAAAAGTAAAGCGGATGATGATGTGACGAAAGGCACGAAAGAAGAAAAATTATCCGTTCGAACAACAACAATAAAAGGCGATCGATTGAAGAAAACGCCAGAGAAACCGAAGCAGATTTCTTCGAAGAAAACTGAAATTCCGAGCGCTATCGCGACGGAGCAGGAGGATTTGAAAAGGAAGAAATGTCGGTCATACACGCTCTTCGACGATCTGGAGAACGCAGCGTTGGAGGAATACATTCCGGATGCTCCGAAGGCGAAGAAACCGTGTCCGGATTTCAAGTACGTGCCCAGCCGAAAAAGTGCATTGGAAAATATGCGGTTAACATCGAACGAATACACGCCAACTCTTTGCGACGGCAGAAGCCGTATCGCGGAGGATGTGAGCTATGTACCAAACTCCATCGAGAAACTGGAGACGACTTATGAAATTTACGAACCACGCGCCACCACCGAGATACCTGATAGCATTTTCGAGGAGTACGTGCCTAATTCCAAGGGTTTCAACCCCTCCGTAGAGAAGTACGAACCTGACTTCAAATCGCCGAGCAAGCTGATGAAGTTCGATGATAGTTACGTGCCCTCAAGCGTGCGACGAAGCGCGCCGAATGAATCGAAAAGAACTTCGAGTAAGTCGGAGAAGTCAAAGATGCAAAGATTAGAGGCGCGTCGAAAGGGAACGCTGGACAAGAAAAAGATAGACGAACTTTTCTCGTGAGACACGCGACAATGCAAAGTGTTCAAGCGGAATAGTACACGACTGAAGAAATTCTTGCAGGCAGAGAAAATAAATTTTGGCATGACTGACATTTGTAAAAAGTATAGTTTATCTTAAGATGATATATAAGGAAATTCTATATATTACATTATTATATAATGGTCCGTAATAAAATACTTATTATTAAATATAAAATGGTATCGATGGATCAATTGTTAAACAAACATCATTTACGATATGTACATTGATGTCTTGGAATTAAAGCGAATAGCTGTTTTATTTCCAAGCTATTTTCATTTGTTCTATTTGTTTCCGATGCATCGATAGGCTTCCTAATAGTATTAACTTTTGGGCGCAGTATAGATACATCATTGCGTGATCATATTCAGCGGTCGTCTTCGGCCTCACTCGGAGGATCTTCGACCAAATTCTTTATGGGTTCATATTTGTTCTCTGCCGTTTCTTCTTCCTTAGATTCGCTCATTTCAGCGTCATCTTGGTTGAGTTCCTCCTCGTCGTCGGTATCATCGTCGGCACCCGGATGAGTGGGAACTTTATGTGTCGGACTACTTGATGTCTGCATGGATCCCGGTTTCTGCCACATCTTTTGCGATCCCTGAAAGTGACGAAGAGGTCGTAATTAGTATATCGTAGAAATATAAATATAACTTATAAAAAATTTATAAGTTTTCATAGAAATTACCTTCATTCCACTGACTTTCTCCATGTAATAATCATAAACGAACTTAGCCATATGCGGCATATCTTCGATCTCCATCGGCACTGTTGAGGGTGCAGCGTCGTTCAGTCGCTCGGTAGGATAGAGTTCCTGCGGTAATAACTGCAACTTCAATGGTCTCTGCATCAATTGATCGAAAGCCGGCGTAAGCTCGAAGCAGTTCTTGAAAAGGGACACGCGGGCGAAGACGTAGAGACCGAGACGAGCACGCGACATTGCCACCACCAGACGTCTCGCGTCTCTCAGATGACCAACTGCGCGTGTTTTCACCAGAGACAACAAGATATAATCGTTTTGCTGACCCTGGTATTTGTCGACGGTCGTTACCTTGTTCGGCCGGCCAATTAGAGGATTGTTCGCGCACCGAATATTTATCACGTCTCTTATTAGATGCTTTTGACCGTTATACGTGGTCAGAATACTGATCTTATCCGCCGGGTATCCTAGCAAACGCATATACATAAACACTGCAACGCAGTACTCGGCTTCAGCAAGATTCTGGTAAAAGTAAGCGCTGGGTTCGCTTTCGCCAACGCCATTGAAATCCTCGACGTTCACCAGTTGGAAGTCGTACAGGAAGCCAGCGTTCGCTACCAGATACTCCGGGCTGCGCTCCACGTGCGTCAGATTTCCCAGTTTCTTGTATCGCCAATTGTAGAGATTGCAAATACTGGGTCTAGCACGACCTTGGCCGTCGAGATCAACCGTGGGTACACCCAATCTCACGAATCTCGCGAACAGCGATTGCTCCATGTTTGAGTACTTCTGGAAGGCCATATTTTTGATAACAGGCGGTAATTGATGATGATCTCCTATCATTATCCAACGTTTTAAGCGATTATATCCATCCTGAGGATTTTGTAGGAGCAACGGTATGAAAGTTTCTATCTCTAAGATTTGCGCGGACTCCTCCATAAGGATATTGTCATATTTGAAACCCATGTCGACAAGCTCGCGACGTTTAAGCGCCGCGTGCGTACAAGTCATAGCGATCACTTTGGCCTCCTTCACAAGCAAATATTTTGATCTATCAAGACCCGACCGTAGTAATTCGAAAGCACGAAACTCCTCCAATTGCGCGAATATCCTTTCAATGTATCTGTACAGAAGATATTTCATTAGAAGCCATTGTCATGTCATTTTGTAAGAGTTTAATACACTTACCTGAAGCAGCTGCACGCAATCTTGAGATCTTCCTCATATGAATTCCGTTTAAAAAGCGGCTGCGGAGCATTGTCGAAAAACTTGTGAAAGGGAAATTCCTCGTCGATTATAGAAGATAAATCGGACTTCTCGCTTGTGTGTTGCCTCTGCTTGATTTTAGCCTGGAAACGATCCCATCTTGTGGACACTTGATACATAAAAAAGTATCCTGCTGTTTCACACGTATACGCGACATCACCCTTCACGTTCAAAGATTCCTGCGAATGAAAACACATCATGACATGACACAATTTGACATAACTAATCGATATTAATTTAATAAGTTGAAAAATAAATACCTGTAACCTTTGAACTTCCAGGAGTAAATCTAAACGTTTGGCAAGAACGTAATTGACTCTGCCGTAGCGACTAAAGTCTTTTTCTGTCTCCAAAGCCTCCTCTCCATGACCGAGACGCAACAAATGTCGCTCGTCAATATCGAGAGCCATTATCTTCTCGAACAATTGATTGAGCGCTTGATTGGAGTGCGTTACAATCAGCGTTCTCTGATTGGGAAAATTGTGATATAGATTTGAGATGATCTGCACGGCGACATCCGTTTTACCCGTACCGGGCGGGCCAACGACCAACGTCAAGCCTGGTTGCATTCCAGCACGTATAGCTTCAACTTGCGTCGGCGTGAAGGGTATCTGATTTCTGCAACAACAGTTTTTCTTCCGTTCAAAAAGTAACACGTTCGCATGCTATTAATACTACTAAAGAAATAAATAAAATGAATACTAACTTTTTCGGTTCGTTCGCTCTGTATGGACCTCTACTGGGTGGCACATGTGGTTTAACTGTAATGACCTTTTTGATTGGTTCTTCGTTGTTATGCTTCGCAAGGACATCCTCGAAAGTTAGCTGAAACGGTCGCACCAGATTTCCTTCGTCCTCTGAGTTCGTTTTGATCTCGTATTGAGGAAAACTGGCTCGTAGATGATCGATATCGAGGAATGTATCGTTGAAGTCTATCGTCGCGATTTCATCTGGCATTCTGTTACATTAAACATTTTTCAATAATTAATTAAAAATCACAATTTTATTTCTTAAATAAATTATTACAAATATTATTTATATATCATGCAAATTATTTCAAAAAATAGTATAAAAAAGTTTTTCAAACACAATCAAGATAAATAATTATCGCCTGGTAAATATTGGCAAATTGTAAAAGAATCACGAAAGAAGGTATCTATTGTTAAGATCTCAGATACGTTCGCTCAGCCGTTTACATTAATCGATGCCGTTCCAAGCGATCAAACATACTCGGTTTTATTATTAGTATAAATATATAGTCACAGAGAGATAATAGACAAGAAACTACCTAGAATAGCATGCTGCACCTGGATCACCATATCCGAGGATTATATCGTGCAACCAATCGGGCACGACGCATTCAGTATTCATGAGCTCCCTTATAGTCTCTAACACGGCTTTGAAGTTATTCTCCTTAGGTTTACGTCTCATTATGATATTAAATCCCTCGTATACATCCTCGCCGCCGTGACTGGCGTTGTCCATGTCGATCCGGTATTGATTGCAATCCAGCCATACTCTATAGGTACGCGAATCGCCCGGCAGAATCGGCCTCGGCTCAGGGCCATCTTCTATCACTCTGCCGTTCGAGTCGAGCATACCCTCGACCTCGCACCCTCGCACTGTCGTTAAACCCACTTGTGGTACGAAGGGGAGCTTATGACTGTATTTCGTGCCTGCGATAGCACGACAATTGTTTGAGAACTCTGATCTCATTTATATTATTATTATAATATAAAACTACATGAAGAATTACATGAAGAAACAATTTTAATCTCAAAATCAAACCCTCACTGTTATTGAATATAAAAGCAATTAAGCTTCACTAGTATAACTAATCATTCGATACGATTGCAATAAAACCTATTTATAGAGAAGTTTATAGAGAAATCTTAGCTGTTAAAATAGATAAAATCAGATTTTATCTATTTTTGTTAAATAAATTCTGTTATCATAGCAAAATTTGTTTTGATGACAGAATAAGAATACAAATCATTATTTCATTACATATATTATTAATAAGTCTTTTTGCTCTCTATATAATTGATTTATATAAAACAATTACAAATTATTCTTTTTAAGTTCCGTTTTATCTTACCGATAGGATTCGGCGGCTTGACTGTGATGAGAAAGCACACATCGTGCTTGCGAAGATTCTCCCATTCGGACTTAATCTCCTTACGAACGCTGAGATTTATCGTTACATCGGCACGGACTCTCGACGGTCTGTTTTCGCCGACGTTAGGTTTGGCTACCTCAACCACCGCGAATTGCGTGATAGGTTGAGCCATTCTGGCCCATCCGCCAAAGTAGACACCACCGTCTTCTGCCCGCCTACGAACAAAGAAAGAAGAAATATTCTGATTACTTTTACTTCTGCAAAAGGAGAAGACAGTCAATGTTATGCAAAAATTTAACATACCAAGGACTCAATCTGCTCACGGCATCCTCGATATCTTGTCGTATCTCATCTGTGGACAATAATAAATTTATAATAGAATAAATGACATACTTAATCATGAATTCAGATACGACAGTAAATGACAATGCCATTCATCCATTTTTTTCTCATTTTTTTTACATACATGTAGATTCTAGGCGGAATAGATTGAAGTTTCGTAACAGATAATCATGTAACGTGAGGAACTGCAGGTTCAGTTTTGGCAGAGCCAGACAACCTTCGCCGGAAAAGTATTCAGTCGGGACGATGCTCTCGTTCCAGATGATGTCTTCGGTCGGATAAAGAGGCATCTCATTCAACTCTTCAAGTTGCGACGGCCTACGTTCGTGTCGCGATATCTGAAATTAAGATGCATGCTCTCAAATTAAGATGAATTCTCCGCTGATCTTGACGTAGAATCTCTGGATCTCTCGATCGGCTTTTTTCTTTCTTTCTTTCCTTATACTCACTAGCAATTCGCGTAGAAAATCTATGTCCAGGCGGTACCAATTCTCGTCTTTTTCTCGCTCTACAGGCGGTACTAAATTCAAATAACTTGCAATAGACCTCAATTTTTCTTGACTGAAAATAAAGTAATTTGCGGTGTTTTAACATTTTAATGTTTTATGATTCATATATTAATATAATTATTTTACGTAAAAAATTATCTCACAATATTATCTTGAAGATTAATAATTCTTGTAATTAACTTTTATATGTATTTGAGAGGACAAACAATTTTATCATACGCAGAACTCACCTAAGCGAGCCGAAATGCTTGTAAAGAGCATCTCTGACGTCGACGCTGGCTACGTTGGCCAATGCGAAGCTTCTCAGGTCTGGGAATTTTGCGAAGACCGCATTCTAAACAGAATTTTAAATATTACCTGACAATCTCAAGATTTCGGGAATTCATTATAATTTAACATTCAGGTGTGCATTAGCATGTTTATGACGTAATTAATAGGCTTAATCATAGCTTGATCATAATTATTAAGATTCAAATCTCTGTATCATGATATTAAATCAACAACGACCGGTTTACGATGATGATAACATGTTTAGAAATCTAAAAGATGCGAAGGACTTTTTCTATCATCGCTTTAAAAATAGAGCGTTAAGGTAAGATAAAAAATTGGAAGTTATTTCGCGCGTTTTAAGAAAGAACTCCTCAGTGCATATATACGAAATTACACCATTTCTTAATTCGCTGTTTGCATACCTGAAGGGACGTAATTTTAGCGTAATGCAATTCCGTCATGTCATGATCCGTCAGAGGATTGCCGGTCTCCTCGCTGATCTCGAATCGGGCATAGAACTTGAGCATTTCCAGGAGCTGCAATCAAAAACAGAGATAACCGGATAGATAGTTTTCTAGCGACAGAACATGCTGTTTATTGTTATTCGTTATAAGCCATGTGGCCTTTATTCATGGAGACACACAGCTGGAAATTATGTGCGCGTCATGAAAGCAGAATCCACTGAGCCGCTGCATTTGTAATCGGTTCTTCGACGTCATAGTCGACGAGAGGACCGGCTGCAGGTATGTTAATCATTTTTCTTGACGGACGTGGTTTCCTCCTGCCTTCTCGAGAGATTCAACCTTCGTCCGTCACGAGATCGATATTTATTTCCCGCGTATTTCATTTATCGCCTGCGAAATTCATTTTCCGAATCATCTCTCGAATCGATGATTCACGCAAAATTAATACTTGTTAATAGACGAACGTGTATTTCAGGTGTCCCATTGCGTAATATAATTTCTCTCATTCTTGAAGATTTCTCGATGGAGACTGATAGATCAATCGGTTCACCTGACAGCGAGTAATCTAATTGGCCAAGAGCGTGCCAATTATTATGGCTCATTATTCATACGCATGTTCCACATATCAAGTGACTGCTCAAACACAATTAATCAACTGTGGTTTTAAGCTCGTAGTTAATGTTAACGATAATAATTAATCATGGTAATTATCAGAATTTCCTATCGTTTCACCACGGCCTTCGTTCGCGTGTGCGCATAATACAATAGTCGATACATGTATTTTCTGCAGTCTCTCAGAATATAGTTTTATAGTGCGTTACGAATGTACGTATCATCAACATTTTAATTTCTACATACGAGAAAGATGCTACACGCGTAACGGTATACTTCTCCAACGAGTTTCTTCGTTGCGTTCTTATTCACGCGGCGTGATGTTCGTAAAGCACTACGATAAAGCACGCAACGACCTCGTTCCTTTTCTCTTAATTCTCTTAACTAATTAGACATCTCACGGAATGGAAACCGGCAATACTCAGGCAGGGCAAGATCTTAGGCGCTCATACTCATCTTTTTATATTTTTAAATTTATGTATATAAATTGTATAAATATACAGGATGAAAATCGCAAGCAATACTCGGCAAGGCAAAATCTTAAGTGTCTTAGTAATTTACTTTTGAATTTATATAAATTATATAAAAATTACAAAAAAATTTTTTAAATCATATATTAGATCTTGTCTAACCGAATATTTCCAGTTTCCGATTTTGTTATCGAGCACATTTTTAGCTTATATATCGATCATTTAATTAGAAATCCTTTGCAGAGTGAAACTCTGTTGAAGAGTACCACTCTACAGTACTCCTTCTTCAGTAGCCTTCGCAATCGCAACCCCGTTCGCATATATCGGCGTCGCAAAGAAATCTGGTGATCATTGTTTCACTCCGGCCATCGGTCTCGAGGCAGAGGTGGCTGGTGGCCTCGCGGAGAAAAAGGTAGGGAAGGTAAAGGTAGAAAAAAAAGAGGAATACGCGACTTCGCCGCACCACACGAGTCCATCCAAACGCAAAAAAGTGGGAGAGGATCGAGGCACTATCTTTCAGCCGCGCTCCGCGGCTCACCGGTGAGCTCCGAAGAGCAGTTCGCCGTTGCGTTCAGTTTCGCTCGCAGCGTAACTGCGTGAACTCGGTTCAAGTGGAGACTCGCGTACTCCAATCGCTTATCGTACTTCAATCGTATCGACTCAATCAAAACACGTCGACTTCCCTATAAAAGCACACGTGACACGCGTCGAGGACTTTTCCCGTAATTCCGATAACGGTCGCGCGATTCAGCCTGGATCATTCTGAGCAAACAAAAATCCGCCTCTTTAACGGGTTTCTCGGCAATTTTTTTCAAGCGATAAGGAAGGTCGTTCGATAAAGAATCGATAAAGTTGTCATAATCTTCACGCTCCTCGCCCGCAAAACAGCCCGCGAGTGATCGCTACGCGTCTTGGTTCCGGCCAGAGGGAAGGACAGAAGGAGAGGAAAATATTTGCGGGAAATTGCGATAAGAAGAGTGACAAAACCACGGAATCTTGGTTATCGTCATCCGCTGGAGGATTTCCCACGGAAACTGCAGACAGATCAATACGCGGTCAGTTCTCCCGTGGCGAACGCCAGAGCAATCCCGAGCGTCCGTTGACCCTGATCGCGCGCAACGCGTCGGACAAGTGGTGGCTCCTTCGCTTGGAGAACGTTCGTCAAGTTCGCCGGAACTTCCTCGGCGTCCCCAAAACCCGGAGGAACGAGGAGATGCGGTAACGAGAGCGAAAGACAATGTCGTTTCCCGACGTGAGTTACAGCAGGCAGATGAGCACGTTGTCGATCAGAGGTGAGTAAGCTTCGTAAGCTTCTCCGCTTTATTATCCTTGCTTCATTATCTTCTCCTTGGTAGGAGGAGATAATGAAGCAAGGCTAATGTTTGTTTTTTCACAGAAAAAACCCGTGGACCGGTTTATCTACGTCGGTAGTAATAAAACTGGTTGTAATTAAATTTATTGTCAGCGAAACCGGCTGTTGCGAGTGTTTTGCACGAGTCCTTGCATTGTTCTCTAAAATTTTGCGAACTATTATGAGAATCGCCCTGCGTGGAAAAGATCACACACGCGTGAAGTTTCGTTTTTTAACAATTCCGAGATATCATAATAATATCACCAGAATAATAGACCATCATCATAATAGATCTCCATATCAGGAGATCTTCTCAGAATATTCAGCAGCTAATATTAAGAAATTCAAAATTTCTGATTCACCCTTTTCCCATATTGTTTCATAAATGTCGTCATGCTTTGTTCGTTATTTTTGGCGTGTACATCAGAAACTTATTTTGTTTACGTAAAACGTACCTCGTTGATATTCCAAGATACAAACTCATCTGTATACAAATTGCTGTCAGTCATACAGCAATAGGATGAGATTGATATTTAATTAATTTATCAATTATCAAAATGAGCTGATTGAAGTCTAACGTCTTACACAATGCGCGATTATAGGAAAATTTGCGGTTCTCAGTAGAAAAAAAAAAAAAAAACTCGAATCCGTCAATGATATTTTCTCAACAAGGATGCTGCTGTGCCAGAAAGAATTATTAGTAGATAATCAATTTGTCGTAAATATTAATGCACACATTTAAGCATGCTCTCTGCACGTGTCTCTCAGAAGAAACAATATTTCGTTGTCTACTCGAAGAATATGAATTCGATTAAAGTCATTAAAAACTAATATCAAGATAAGCGTGAAATACTGAGAATGTGAATTATTGTGAAAAAGTCGCAACCGGATCTATAAATAAAAGCTGCCGATGAGATTGACGAGTTTTATCTTGACATTTCATAATCTTGAATAAAGTTAATTTGATGTGAAGATACAGACTGCATTAAGCAAACCTCCTTGATTGTCAACAGCATTTCCCGCTCATTTTCTGATTAAGCTACCTCGAGCGAACGATTATCACGCATCTTTGCTCCAGATATCTTTTCTCGGCATTCGTTCGTTAATCAACCGAAACAGCAGATTACTGTTTTCACCTTAAATTTTATAATCATATCGTTAATGAGTGAGTTATCGTGTCAAATTCACGCGATTGGAGCTGAATGAGCGAGAAATTTATTGTATAACATCTTTTTTTTCTTGTATAACAAACGCGATGATAACAGCGATATATAAGGAATAAAAGCGACGAACGTTTATTCTGCTCGCTCATTATACTTAATACGACAACTGCATCTAATTAAATATGGACGGCGTTTTCATTAAGTCGTCCCCGCTACAATAAGTCGAGGTGGCTGTGCCGTTTCATGGTTAATCCCACGATTTATTGAAAAGTAAAAATTGTTATTTTCAACATCGGGGCTTTCTTAGGAATTAGATGTGACGACATTCGACGATTATTACGTTTACAAGTTCCGTTTAATGAAACTTACGATACGAAGTATCACGTTCAAAGTTTACAATTCCAATGTTTTATATTGTGACAAATAGTCGATCGGGTCAAGAGATCGTTCTAGAAAATTGAAATAGTTGAGAAAGAGCGTATTAATGATGCCATCCGTTTCACATAAATAATATTATCCGAGAAGATTACGAAGTCGATATCATTCTAAATAAAAGATGCCAAAATAAATAAGACGTTTGCTCTTACCGATAATGATAATATCAACAAATCCCTGCTAGCGTAAGAAATGAACATAAAATGCACGAGTTCAAAAAAAATATATATATCGCATCGAGAAAAACATGACCTTTTTTGAATTAAAAACGAAAAGAGAGAATTATCAGTATTGTAGGAGTATTAACATATAATAAATAATCGCCTGAGCGTTTGAACTTTTGCGATTACGAGGATGCGATACATATTTCTTACAATTACAATTTTTTTTTACGTCAATTTGCGTTTTTTGCATTTCGAGCTGCTTTGGCGGAGAATATTCTCGTGAAATGTTGAAGTCAAAAACTTAGTGCGAGTGGTGTATCAATGAGTTATCTACACACGCACGTGCGCCTAGTTCACACGCACGCGTGTACACAGCGTGGACCAACGCCGGTAATGAAGAGTTAACAGTTAAAAGAGCCGTCCCTTCTTCTTTCGCAACGATTGTTTCATATCGCACATCTGCACATTAGCGTCGAACTGGGTTACGAGTATCATTCCTATTGCGTTTCTTATTGCGCCCTCCGAGCCGCGATGCACCCGTTTCTGATATCCTCTTCTCAGAAGCGAGACGCATCTTCGTAACTGCGGAATGCACTGCGTTGTACCGAGTCCATTTTTCCATTCAGAAAGTCTCGCTCTATTATTTCCCGCTGAAAATCTCGTAAACCCCCTCCCCTTCCCCCCGGATAACACTCTCATGTCATGATAACGCCAAGTCTAATATCACCGAAGATAAAAAAAACGTTTTGATATCAGACCGATCCTTGTGACGCACGCGCTAACTCCGTGGCAAACGTTTTACGAATGCAATAATACGTTGTGATAATATATTTTCAGAGAAGCGCTTTAAAATTCTGTCATTATTTCAACACGAAAGAAATTTTATTCAAATATCTATTGGTTAAATACAAATCTGAAAATAATTTTATTAGATTGTCAAAATTATTATGTACGAAATTTAAGCATAATAATAATATTACAAATATTTTTGATATTCCAATGAATTTAAATGTTTCATAACATAATCATTTTTATAACTTAACAAAATTATTTTCAAATCTTCATATTCTAGTATCATATTCGAATATTTTCAAATTTTTTTTTTAAACACCAGCAAAACTATTTTTTTCTGTGAATATATTAAATCCATTGTCAATTTATAAATATTTTATAAAAAGATCATGCTAGAAAAAAGATTATCTTTGCAAATAAGATTTCTATTGTTGGGCGAATATTACGAGAAATCAATGATGACACTTAATACGAAAAAAAAATTTTTTATTTCAGTTTCGCGAATAGAACAGTTTTGCTAAAACTTTGAATACAGGTCTAAAAATAATTTTGTTTGAATATCAAAAATATTGCAGTATTAATTATGATGCTTAAGCGTCCTACGTAATAATTTTATGGCCCAACAAAATTACTTTGAGATCTGTATCTGGCCAAATTTTTATTTCAACAAAATAATTCTTTCCGTGTATACATTAGGTCTATCTTCCTGTCAAACGTGTCTTTTTGTAAAAAACACATACCGAGCGTTAGCTACATTGGGTGCTTTAGTGATATAAGTCGACACAAACATCTTATTCAACGAGTAACAAAGGCTAAAACGATACTTGTGTTAATTTATGGAAAGTATTGGCGCTTGAGCAATCGAAATGCAACAAATTTTTGCAGATTCCTTCTGGTTGCTGTGGCTCTGCCTGCTCGCGAGCTCGGTCTCCCCGAGCGTGTCATCTTTCGATGTATCCTGCTGTCCCGAGGGTACGGTATGGCAACGCTCATCCAATTGTTCAGACGGCTCGAAGATCCGCCTGGAATGCCAATACGGCATCTTTCTGCTGGATCCTAAGCTGAGCAAACATGATAACTTTACTGTCATCCACGAGGAGCTCACCGCTTGGCTGTTGCCAGACAGCCATGAGAGAATCCCGGCTGACAGGTAATTCTCCGTGGCTTTTGTCCGGATTTATATCGTCGCGTCTGCTCGCTAATTTATTGTACACGTGCTTGCGGAAGAAAAAAAAACGGAAAAAGGAAAGAGAAAGATGGTAGAACTACCGGACGATTGAGAAACATTGAGGAAAATCCTGATGTTCGGAAATTTCCCGTTGTTGACACGTTATTATTGCGCATTTAGCAGCTCTAGGCAATTAGAATCTTCCGTAGGTAGACAATTAATAATTCGATTGCGATTCATTCATGACTGAACATCATTCATGACTTTTATCAATCTATGAGATTATATTTATTAATCTAATGAGGTTTTTTTTTTTTAGATTTTGCATAGCCAAATCGGAGCAGAGCGGTGGTGATGTCGCGCTGGCCTGCTTTGATGAGGACCTGATGGATGATGAGAAGACATCAAACACATGGAAAAACATGCTAATCTGTATCGTTAGCATCATCTCGGCGATCTTCCTGATCGCCACTCTGGCGATTTATGTTATCCTGCCGGAATTGCGAGAGCTCCAAGATAAGGCGATGATGACTGCCGTTACGACTTTGGCCGTTAGTTACATTGTTCTCTCCATTCAGCATTTGCGGCCAAATTTAGACGACGATTATATCATCTGTATTTCTCTCGGTAAATAAATTATATTATCAACGCGTTTGATTATTTGCAGGCTTGAATACATGACAAATATTTCTTTTGAAATCACACACGAAAATAACAATTTTGCTGAACTATCTAAAAATTTAATCGGATATAAATCTAAAAATAATTTGGTTGAATTAAACTAATGATGTAAAATGCTTAAGCATAATGATAATACTGCAAAAAATATTAAATATTCCAGCAACCAGTGTGAGCATAATAATTTTATATAATTATTTCCAGATTTGTATCTGATTAAAAAATTTCCAAGTACGTCTACTTCTGTAAAACTATTTTTTCCAGATAGTCTTGTTTTTCTTATATTTTCCCACTAGTTCCTTCGATTTCTTCTTATTATTCAATCCGTACGTTTGTATTCTAGGATTCATACTGTACTTCGCTTTCATGTCCGCGTTCTTCTGGATGAACATTGTGGCCTTCAACGTATGGCGATGCGTGTGGTAAGTGCCAGACGAATAAATTACCTGAAGAACATCCGATTGTAACAAAATTGTAATAAAAAAAGTAGGGCGCTGGCGATGGCGCTTAATTTCATGCAGATGTAAAAAGTTTTCTTTAAAATTCAATTATTTGTGCAGGTTTAAGAACTTCAGGATAAAGGATCAATTGCTCTTCTACACTTTTTGCGTTTGGGGATGGGGTGGTCCAACGTGTTTCCTGATCGCCGCACTGACGACGCATCATATGCCTGGAGATCACTTGCAACCCGGTTTTGGCCTGTATGGTTGCTGGTTCAGTGGTGAGTTTGAACACGCGTTGAGTGTTACGTGGCGATGGCGCATTGGACTTTCCGTTTCATTTGCACGTATTGTACATTATCCTTCCTCTTGATAATAAATGATTTTTGTAATCTTATCAATTTTATACGTCAATAATAAATGTGGTAACGTGAATGCGCGGGACTCAATATGTTAAAGATATAGACAAAGGTATTAAAGTATAGACAAAGATATTAAAAGTATAGACAAAGAATGACACGTGACTTTGTTGCGCTCTGATATCATCGGAGAATGATTTCAAAGATCATTCATGTTTTCTAATCCAAGATGAGATATATAGGTGTTATTTTGCAGGCCCTATGGAGACGTGGGCATGGTTTTACGGGCCAGTCGCTATTTTGCTAATGTTAAACATGATCTATCTGGGATTGACCAGCTGGCGTTTATGGCATCAATATCGTGATTACACAGGAAGCAAGTTGCGAATTTTGCGATTCAAGTGCTTGCTGTACATCAAATTGGTGCTTGTCATGGGCGTCACATGGATCTTCGAACTGATATCGTTCGCCATTGGGACAAAACTGGACGCAGTCTGGTAGGCGATCGTTAAGATGTCTGTCCCGATTTATTGATTGTTAATGAGCTAATTATCGAATGTATTCTTCATAGGATAGCAACGGATCTGTTGAATGGTCTTCAAGGATTCATCATATTTTTGCTCTTGGTCGCGACGCGAAAAAGAGTGCGGAAGCTATTGGCGAAGAAGCGACCATGCGGTATCGCTTTTCCCAAATCTTGGGCCGCATACGAAGACGAGGAGTGCGAAGCAGTGCTACCCGAGGAGCTTGAACTGTCTCAACAAGGATAAGATTCTCTTACAATTTGTTTTCCAGCATCTACATTCTAACGTATGCGTTACAGATATAATGTATGCATGTATTACAAATCTTTGCGCAGATATATCAGAGTATGTTGATAACGAAATAGTTGCAAGTTATAAGAAGGCAGGATCTTTTATACGGGTTAAATATAAGAAATATCGTCTAGAGAAAGATAATCTTGCTTTATCTATATATTATCTGTAAACAGATAACGCGACACATACTGTTGACAGGCTTTTAATTAATTTGATTCTAAAAATAACTCCTTTATAAACGCATTTTATTCTCCGTGCGAATATTCTCGTTATTATATAGTCTCAATCATGTTAATTCGTTTGTCATTTGTGATTCAGTTTCGCGAAATCAATGTTAATTTAATGTATTTTTTGCGTTAACGCGCGCAATCTTTTATTCTTTTATATTTAGTAGTACTAAGTATAAGAGAGATAAATATGACGATTGCCTTATAACAAGTTAATTATAAATACCGTACGTTGTAAATGACGATCGTCGTGGAAGGTATTTCGATTAGCGTAATGAAGTATATTATTATTAAGCTGTATAAGAATCTCCGTAAACATTATGCAAATTGGACCGAGTCACTCTGTGTGTGTGTGTGTGTGTGTGTGTTTGTATGTGTGGAGGAACTCGTGGAAAGAATATAACAAAGATTACAATTATTACTCATCGGTGCGTAATCTCATTTTGCTCCTGTGATTCAGTTACAGTTTCTCGTTTAAGTTACTCACGGAAACGTGACGACAGCAAGTTATTATCTGTTTCCCACCGCACGTTCCTACAATTTCCTACGAAAATACGTAAATCCCGACTCATTCACTTTGTTTTATGTCCCACCTCCATTGTCGACCGAGTAACAAATACTATTCGTGACATAGCTCTTCGAGATATCTCATGCATGATAAAAATATTGCACAAGCGGATTCTGAATTTGATGATTCGACATTGAACCACTAAATATAACGAATCATTATGCAATAAGTTGCAATGCAAAAGCCGCCCGTATTCCGGAGTCCGAAGGCTACCGAACACTTTCACCGTGGGCGAGACAATAGACGCACATTAATGTACGTACATTAGCATAACATGCGTTCATTAATTCGAGTGTCTCTCAATGTCTGACTCGTTGACAGCGGCAGAAGTTTAGGCAACAATTAATTTATTAAAAATTGTCGCCGCGGGCACGTGTCGAATGCATTGTAAACACACACTGTTTGACCTACTTTCATTGATCTCGCGAGTAATTCGTTACGCGTCATCCACTTCGATGTGCGTCTATTAATGTAAATTATATGTAAATTATATGGAGTGTCCCACATTCGGAGGATCATCCTTTACCTCTAGATTCTTCGATCGATTTTCTACCGATCTCTAATTTCTCCTTCGCGTAAATGTCAAGGATGATTTGTGACTTAAAAAAATTATTAATATTCTCAGTATATTTTAATTAAAGAGCCTCAGCCACATCAATTCAAGAATCAGCGAAGATAATTCGTAGCGGTGTTTCTCATCACGTTGCATTCTAACAATAAAATGTCATAAACGTATCAAATAATGCGCGTAACGAATCTGGATATGTTTTATAAAACTGTTCGGAATAAATTCCGGTCAAAATTTTTTAATTATTTTTAATTAAATTTTTATTGTCATTTCTAGGAAAAACGGAATAATTCCGATTGGAATTCATTCCCAATAATTCTATAATATGCTCCCCTGATTACATTCGTGCATTCTAGTTTGTTGATACTGATACAGGCAGAAGATCACGATGCGAACAAAATTTGTTAGGCAAATTAGATCGGCCCGGAACAATCGATACCATTGAAATGCAACGAGTTCATCGAATGCATTTAACCCCGCGAGATACCATGCGAAATAGGTTCATTCATATTCTCAATTCTATAAAATATCCAGAAATTATAATTTTGTACTACTTAAATGCAATTCTTTTTTTGTAATATTTTTTATCAAACACAGAAAGAACAATTTCGCTGAAGTGTTGAAAAATTTGGTCAGATATAGATTTGAAAATAATTTTGAGTCATCAAAATTATTATGTTGAATGTTTAAGAATGTTTAAGAATGTTTAAGCGTAATGATGATATTGCAAAAATTATTTATATTCTAGCAATCAATTTAATCTTTTTTTATAAATATTTTGGTGGCCCGCCAAGATTATTTTCAGATTTGTATCTGATTAAATTTTTAGATACGTCAATAAAAGTGTTTTTTCCGTGCAGCCAAATCGTGACAGAATTCTTCCTGTTAAATCCTTCATTTCCCTTTAAAAATAAGCTAAATGTGTTACAGATATTCGAAATGCTGATTCACATTGTTGTAAGAAGGTAAGCGCATCCAAAGAATTTCATATTTATACTCTTTTTTTTCTTCATTTTCATAATTATATCAAAATGACTTAATAATAAGGTATACGAGTATACGTAATCAAACTATCATTTGAATAAAGGTGAAGAGTAAGAAAAATGACAAAGATTAAAAGAAAAAAATAAACGAAAAGAATCTGTATGAAGAATATATTGAATCTATTTATATGAAGATATTATCCTCTCGTATAAATGACTCGCACCACAGTAATCGACGGTAATGAGATTAGATAGACATAAAAATGAATTTGCAATAATCCCGGAACTTGATTGCTAAGCTTTATCGCAATAAAACGCACTATTCAACGGATTGAAAGTGACAGAAGAGGATATTGCAGTGACTTTTACATTCTTCCCACATGTCTTCAACAAGAGGAAATTATGAGAAGTGAACTCGCAGCTTTCATTAAAACTGTCTCAGAAAGGGAAATTATATCGTTTGAAGCATAAGTAAAAACCGGCGATTCAGGCTGCATAAAATACGAAAAATATGCATAGCTAATCACTCTCTTTCTCACTTCAGAGTACAATGACTCGATTGTTCAGCGGAACGAAGATACGAGATAGAAGTAATGCATCGTTGTCACACACATTGAGAGCACAAATAGAGCATGCTAGCGTGCATTACGAATGTCTTAAGAGCGGTCGCAAAAAGAGACTAATGAGAGGGGAAGCCAGTACAAATTACCGGGGCCCGACTGCCCGGAAGAGCCTATTTGTCTTTCTCAGAAAGATCATTATTGGTCTATCTATTTTTAGTATGCACTGTTAAATCGGCAAACCCTACGAAGAATTTCGGAAAAATCTTTTTGTGTTTCTTCAAATAAGACTAATCACCGACAACAGACGATAATAACATTTAGAAAATGGAATATTTCATTGTATCTGTTATATCAAGCTTATTAGCTAACATTTATTCTTACTCGCACGTCAATATAATATTTATTTTTACTCGCACGTCAATACAAGTTTCGTGCCAAGGAAGCTGAAAACATTTCAACTCGAGACCATCTTGGTCTTGAATATGCATCAATATTCAATGTTTTCTCGGTTTCCACGAGCAAGTGCCATATTTTGCACACGTCGTTGCGGTTTCGAGTTGACTTCTACGCGTTTGTCATAGAAATGACGAATGAATGATATAAAGACGGTGTGAAAAAAATCGCGAGAAAACAGGAAAGGCAGCCGAGTGTGACAAAGAATGCTGTGTACTTGCATGCGAATATAACAAACTTTTGTTACATGCGCTAAAGGCAGTAATAATCGAGGGAAATATCGTGTTGCTTTCGTGTTTCGATTCGTAAACTTGTTTAATCCACCTCGCGATAACTCTATCGGATAAGATTAACGTTGTACCATTCGCAATAGAGACAATTCCTTTTATACACTTACAAATAGTGACAATTTCGATAAGGATAATCTCGCAAGATAGAATTGGTAAAATAAAAAATAAATGAGTTCTGAATAATTTTTATGAGTTATCATGTTGCTCGATAAGAGGAGTATCAGCCTGATTAAAGACTCGTTTGTTCCTTATTTATATGGCTCTTTCGTTAATAAATAAAAAATACATAAAGCTCCTTCTAATAAGTCCAATAATTCAGTTTTCATGTTATTCATCCATTCATACCGTTATCATCGATAATCCTTTGACATTTCACCAGAGATTCAAATTGTCCTATCGATAATAGACAATGTTCGTTTAATCCTTAGTCATGGGCGCAGATTATATGTATTGAATCACATTGAGGGCCAATTTCACCATCTTCGATGGTTAACTTAATCGGCCAATTATTCCAATGGAATTGACTGATCGCATTTGTCATTAGGCAGAATATATCAGAATTGATCAATCACGGTTGATACTTAGATCAATTAAGTTAATCGAAGATGATGAAATTGGCCCTAAATTTCAAAATATTTCATTTAACATCCCTATATTAATATTCACTGTTGAAACAAAATAAAATAGAGTAAACTAGTCATCTAGGCATCTTAAATTTATATTAAATCTTAAGATGCCGAAATCATTCAAAGAGATAAAAATGTATGATCAAGAGATAAAAATGTATGATCGAGAGACACACACATCAATTCTTTTTTAATATATACAATTTAAGAGAAAGAAAAGGCAAAATGAAAATAAAGAAACAGAAAAAACCATACTTGAAATGTATACAATAAGAATAAAGAAAAAAACATATATTCATTACAAAAGAAAAAGAAAAAAACATATATGAAATGAATAAATAAACTATAGAATAAGTAAAATAAAAATAAAAAAGAATATATACATTACAAATAAAAAACAGTACTAAATTTTAATGTACTAAATTTTACACAATATTCTAAAAATTTTAAAAAGTTAAATCAAAAGGATATATCATTAAAAATGAGGAGGACAGAGAATACAAAAGCGCGTATAAGCGCAGCATTGACGCGCGCCGTTGTGTCTTCAGAGCAGCTGGAACGAAGGTAAACTCGCTTGCGGTTATCGAGGGACGCGGAGGGGATTGAGGGAGGCTCGATGCGGCGAGGAACGGGAATGTCATGGCGGCGGGAGCTAGTTGGGGCAGAAGTTGAGATAGATAGGTAGAGGTAGATAGGTAGAGGTAAGCAGTCAGCCGCGGGGTCGGGAGGTGCTGGCGGTAAGGCTAGGCCAGGTATGGGCAAAGTGAGCACAACCTACGTCGTAATGAGCTGACTGAATCACGAATGAACTGTTCACGAAACGATCGATCGAGCGTCCGGCAACTCGGCTCTCTCTTCGATGCGGTTCGAGGCCGCGATTGTGAACGTGAGCAGAAGAGGATTCGCGCGCATCTCGACGCCATGTGTCCGAGGATCGTATTGTTTCTGTTGATTGTCGGTTGGGAAGCGAGAACTGTGCTCGCCAACAAGGAACGACCCGCCGGTGCCGATACGGTGAGCATCAGCAAGTGTTGCGAGCTCGAGGAGCTGCTAGTGGATGACCGATGTACGTCGTTGTCGGAGACTAATGAGACCAAGTGGCAACCGGAGTCTTTGATGGATCAAGACGCGAAGAAAGGATTAATCAAATCCAAATACGAGCTGAAGATCGGACGACCCAGATGCAACCCTAATGAACACCAGTGGCACGTGTATTACTATCCGTCCGGGCCGGATCGCCTAGTGATTCTGTCGACCGGCGCATTGCGTCATTATGTCATGAATACTCCTGAGAGCATGGACGAGTATCGTGGTCTCTCGCCACCACCGAGTGTCAATGATAAGAATGATGAAGACAAGGAAGACGGGACCATACACTATGACTATTTGTTCGGACATTACTGCGCCGACAAAGTGGTACTTACAGGGGATCGCCTAGTGGCGATGTATGCTATGCTTTGCGTACCGAACGTTTATAACCGCTGGACCGATATCAAGTTCCTGATAAATTGCTACATCAATCCCGTCATAGCCACGATATCGATAGTTTGTTATCTCATCATCTCACTTATCTACTCCACGCTACCACAATTATGCGATCTAGTTGGCAATATCATCGTCAGCATATGCCTCTGCCTCGTGGTCAATCAGATTACTCACTACGTGAGATTTATGGCGGATCTTCCGACTTATTCCCATTTTGTCAACCTCCTAGTCACTGGTACGTGAATAGCGAGCGATCGTTCTTGTTTAATTGTCGTAAATGCGACAAGTCATTTTCTTCGCGCGTTTAAATCACTCGCATCTCTATAATGAGTGTAATTCAAGATGCCTTTTTAAAGCGAAAAAGATGTAAATAATTTTCAGAAATATTAGTTAATTTATAATCCGTACCTTTCAGCTTTGAATAACTTCCTCTTCACATGTTTGCATTCTTTGCATTTTTTTTATATGAATTATTTTATATGAATTTCCTCGTCTACATCTCATAGGCTCAGTATAAACATATCTATAATTTTAGACATATAATGTATATCAAATTCAAAAAATTCAGATTCTAGATATCAAATTAGAAACAAGAAAAAATTAATAATATAAAATTAAATTAAAATTAAAACAAAACGTAATCTATTCTAATCAGACTAGTTACTTTCACTTCTATTCAGATTGCTTCTTTTCATCTCTTCTTTCTCTTCTCGTTTGTTCATCTCACGTTTACTCTATTTTCCATCCTCTTCAGCCTTTTTTATTATTTTCTTTTAAAAATTTTACAATTCACATTTTCGGCCACATGCCGAATGCGTTTGTCTGTAGAAAGAAATATTCGCATTCATAAAGAGAAATTTTGTTTACAACAATGCAATGGTTGATAACAATATTATATTATATACTCAGCGATGTTGAGACACTTGACATAGTTTTACAGAATTACCGTGGATTATTTTTTCTCGGAGATACCGAGACAGTGAAATTGACAGTTACATCCTTTTCATCTTAAGTCATATTAATTTCATCCGCGAGACACGCGAAGAGTGTCGCAAAGACTCGAATAAGTCACGTCTGAGCACGCGTACATGACGGAAGAACCAATTAAGCGTAGCTGTTCGAACGGCCTTTCGCTGTGAAAGCAAATTGTTTTAAAGAAATTTCAGGCCAGACGTGTGACAAGAAATACAGTACTGAAATAATAACCGTTGTTTTTTTTTTCAGACATAATCATGTTTGTTTCCCTGATGGCCGCCTTCATCTGGCTCACCGCCCTGGGCTACTTCGTGTGGAACTCGTTTAAATCGCCTAATATTTATCTGCGGGTGACCGACTGCTCACAATATAGCCAGTATTCATGCTGGATCTGGTGTACAACGATCTGCATAGCTGGCTCCGCGATCTTCGCGCACATTTTCCTCGAGACGAACAAGCCCAAGATGGGTGAACCTCCTCAAGAAACCTTGGGATACCTCGCGATCTCTGTGATATTCATGAGCATCGGATTTACCATCATCATCAATCTATTCCTGATACAGAGTACCGTGAAGAGGATCAAAGATATGAACACATGCGGCCATATTCATCAAAGAATGAAGCATAACTTCGCGATGTTCTTCGTTCTCTACATGATTATGGGAGCCAATTGGCTTTTCTTAGTACTTTTGCAATTCTTGAAGTCGGATACTCTGACATACTGTTATAACGTTATAAATATGGTACAGGCAATCGCCATCCTTTACATATGCATATTATGTCAACGGAAAATCATGTTTACGGTTAAGAAAACGTTCAACTGTTGCAATCCCGGTAACAACACTGAAGACTTCGATTGGGGCGAGGAAATGACGGCCATCAATGCGGGTTATTAAAATAGGCTTGCTCTTGGTAAACACCTATTCGAGCGATGATCGTGAGCAATGACAATAACGCATTTAGATCATGATTTGTTAATATATATTGCTTGCAGAACGGCGAGGAATGACATGTGCGAAATGGAACGTGTCAAAATGCAAGATACATATTCAAATTAAGAATGTACAGTTTTGTTGAAAGATCTAAACATTTGGCCAGATACAGATCTGAAAAAATAATTTTGTTGGGCCATCAAATAATTATGTAGACTGTTCAAATTGGTTACTAAAATATAAAAAAATTTTGCATTATCATCATGCTTAAACGTCCTGCACAATAATTTCGATGGTCTGACAAAATTTTTTAGATCTACATCTAGCTAAATTTTTAAATATTTCAGCCAGTTTTTCCGTATATCATACAATCAAAGTATCAAGATCGTACACATAATATAAGTTTTGCATGCAAATTTTAACATGTAACACACACAATATACACACATAAAATATAGATAAATGTCTATATATTCAAATCAAAAGATATTCAGTGTGAAAAATGCAATGTGTCTCTATTTCAAAAGCAGTATTACGCACGTAATTAATTACGCATTATTTTTAGAGAAGTAAAATATGCGCGCAAGAAATATAGAAAAAGATTATATGTATATGTCGAAGATATTATCGGAAGAGATATCGGAAGAGAAAAATATGTTATCAATATCAACGTCAATAATAATCGATATAATAATCGAGTTAATGTGCAAATTAAATTATATGAGAGAAACTGTTGAAATATTTTATAAGTTTAACAAATTTCTAAAGTATTATATATGAAATATGTACAACATATTTCGATCGGAACGCTCGAACTGGTTGCATATTTCGCGTTTGGTGATTACATGTACCTTGGAACAAAATCAATCTCTTGCCTTATTAAGAATTCGCTTATCACTTTACGACTTTGATCTGAAGTGACTTCATATTTAACATCTTGCATGTATTCATGTGTTCATCGTATTATATTACAAATGTACTGACTTAGATTCTATACAAAAGTAATTATATTGTGCAACATCATTGTTAATTGACTGACAAAATTTGTTAGCAAGCATGTTGTACGCGATATGATTAAGATATGTATAATGTATCATATGTATCATCGAGTCTCAAAAGATCTTATAATTTTAATATTTGTGTAATATTTATATCGACGTAGTATATAGATTTCTTTTTATACAAAAGATGTTAGATTCGATAAATAAATATTCGGATCAATATCGCAAGTTAAATTATTTTTATCTTAACATAACAAACTTCTTGCAACGACTTACCTGACCAAATAAACTTCCTTCTGGACGATGCAATAAATTAGATAACTGGCAGCGCACCACTAAGTGATTGTCATCCATGACAGTATTGAAGAAACGTCTAGTAGGAAGTAAGGCCTCGAGATCGATTACCAGCTCCAGAAATCTCTCACAATAACGTACTTTGTCCGGAAGTACAGGTCCTGTTGAGAAAATAATTTCAAAATAAATTATAATTAAATATAAATTATTTTAAGCATTTTATTATTAAGATTTATTGATATTTCTGACTTTATTAATGCTACAAATTCCAAATAGTTGTTATTAATTATTTCTAATATCTTTATCTTAATATCTTTTTCTCATATAATGATTTTCGAATTTTATAACTTTTTATTACTTATTCTTTTTATTCTGATAAAATATTAAAGTCAGAAAATTTAAAGTTTTATTTTTTATAAAAAAATAATTCAAGAAAATAAAAATGGTCAAATAACCGCTTGGTACTTCTGCTATCAAGACAGAAAATTCTTTTAAAAAATATACAGACATTTAAACAAAAAATATAAAAATACAATACCTTCTGCAGGAATCGTTTCCAATATTGTCATGAATTTTATCATAAGTTTATGCAAGAACTTGCGTTCCCACTCATATTTCTCCTTATGCTCAGGATTATCTTTCTTTCTTATAATTTTCCAATACTTCCTCCATTTTGGATACTTTCTAAATTCGAGTTCTCTCCTCCCTTGTTGTAAGGAGATCCACATGGAAAGAGATACCAATCTCTTGGCTTCCTCTCGAACCAGAGATACCTCCATGGAATTGAAACAATGATTCAAAAATACTATCAGTGCCGTTTGTTCCTTCAAATTAAAGTCCATTATACTCTCCTCTAGGCATGCTTCGAGAACCTTCTGAAAGAATCCAGCAAATTGTGTTGGATTCTTTTCAAACGCCTCCCAGACTTGTACTCGTTCCCGGAACTTCTCGTTCACCATGACAACGATGGACATGGTGTGTGCCCGCGTGGCATTCTCTGCATTGTAATTCGGCCAAAGAAAGTTCTCCAAGTACTGGCTGAACTCCAACATCATAATCCTCCGGACAGAGAACCTGGAGGCACATATTTCCTGTATATAGATGTCATCCACTACCTGAGGATTGAACGCTAGATGCGTGTCTGTGGTGTGCGGCGCCCAGTATTTATTCGCGAGCTGCAAGATAATAAAATCATGGTATAATCATGTGGTGAAATGCTTGATTGTAAAACTTATATATCTTTGCAATTTGTAAATCTGAGATAATAGTAACAAAATACCTGAGTGATCCTGTCTGCGTTGATTTGTTCCACCGTAGGAGCAGGATTATTACTTTTGATAGGTGGTGCGTTTTGATTCTCCATTATATTCACAAGCTTACGAACCAAACGCCAAGAGTCAATCTAACCTCAACTCCATTCACCGGTAGTCACAATGAACTCAACAGCTGTCGACAGACGCGCCGGACAAACGTACAATTCTCGCGTGGAAGGAGAATGAAAAGAGTTTTTTGGATTTCTTCGACAAAGCGATTCAATTTTACTTCCGCGAGAGACGTCCGAGTGTTCGCGATTCACTTTGGTTCGCGTCGATAAAACACCAAAAATCCTTCTTCTGCAATCTCCAAAGTGAATTTATGAAAAATTTTCAGAGCATTGAAGAAAAACGGCGACTCAAAGCGAGAGTTGCCTGTTTAAATATTTAAATTCGATGATCGGGATTCTCGATATCGAGAGAGCGAAATCCGGAAGAAGCGACTGCGCGAAACGAAGCTCCAAAATACAATCCTCATCTACGCGTTAGTTCCCATTGACGAATTAGAAGCGAAAACAGTTATCAATAAAGAAAAACACTCGTGGCTCTTCAGAACTAGATATGTCGACTAAATGGAACACAGGGATATACGCGCACCATGCCGTTCGGATTTAGCGCGACTCCCTGTTACTGTCACGTGACCGGCTCTTAGTTCGGCCCGAGCCTCCGCGGAGGCGACGCTGCCGACCGGCTCCCCCCCCCCACCTTCCCGGGAGAGGAGTTCGGACTGTCTCGAACTGATTCTCCGTCGCGCGACACAGGACGGGCTCTCCCGATGATACGGCACGGACGGTTGGCTTGGATTTACGGAGCGACGCGCCGTCGCGAAGGCTCTAGAGCCGACGTTTCTCGCGGGACGCCGTCGTAGGGGATGCCCGTCGCGGTGAGCCAGTGAATCACAATCGTCGCCGCGCTCTCTGAGAGAATCCCCTACCTCCCTCCTCGTTTCGCGTCCCCGGTGAACTCGAGAATTCAGTCTCGGTGGTTTTTCTCGGAGCTGAAGGGACAGCGCGTGAGGAGACACCTCGGCTCCGTCGACATGGCCGTCGTCGAGGAGTTCGATTACCTGTGCCGCCTGTGCGCGGCCAAAACTGGTATTCTGATGGGCCTGCCGATATTCGAGGCCGGCGACCAGATGCGCAACATCGACAAGAAGATAGCAGCCTGCCTGCCGGTTCAGGTAAAAAGACGCGGCGTGACGAACAAGCGCAGCATCATGTCGAGACGGCGGTAGATAAACTTTTCACATTCCCGATTTTTAAATACCCTCTTGGAGCAAGACGGAGATACACGATATCTTCTTTCTCTCGTGATCATCCTTATTTTCCTTATTTTTTCTTGATTGTGAGATGTTTTTTGTACAATCTTAGCCAATATTTGGCAGTGTTAAATGATTTTTAATTAATTTTATATAAATCTTGAATTGATTAATTATGAATTTAAATTTATACAACCATGAGAATTTAATTAGAATCAATATTCGTAGAAATCCTCTAAGGATGTATCAAGAATACACAATTCTGTTAATTTAATTTTTATGTTATTCCAAAATAAGCAAGTATGCTGATAACTATGCTGTAAAAAGTCAGAGCAAATAAAAAACTTTTAGGATGATTGTATTATCATAATTTTCAAATTTTCAGGTGTCATTGACAGATCAGTTGCCCAAGGTTGTATGTGAAGAATGTGCATTTAAATTAGACCAGTTGTTCGATTTTCGCGAGAAGTGTTTACATACAGAAGGAATGTTTATGGAAATGTTAAAAGAAATTGGTAAAGAAGACGTCGTGCATATGACAGAGCACGACTTGGCAAGTGTGAATAACATGGGCACAATGCAAAGAAACTTGAACAGTATACAGATTAATAGCGAAAATGTACAAAACCATTCAGCTGTATCTCACGAAGCTGCAGAGTCTACCATACACACGATGCAGGTGATGGACGAAATGGATCTAGCTGGCGGTGAACAAGTAGTCACTCAGGAAGAGATAGGTCAGCAGGATGCAGACATTACAGGCATTGATTGTCTAAGTGGTGACACTGTGAGAATGGTTGATGCACATATACGAGAAGTAATTAAATGTTTATGTTTTCTTTAATGGATTGCTTATATTTTGATCTTATAATTGTTCTTACTTTAATTTATATCTTAATCTGTAAGCTATGGATTATTTTGTAGGTTTCAAATCATCAAATTGCAATGCACTTGGAAAACGGCATATGTGGAAACTTGGATCCCCTGAGTCAATTGGGTATAAATTATGTCACTTCTATCAATCCTGAAGATCAGAGTCAAGAACAGATAGTGCATTATTGTGAAAATGTTAAATACGAAGCGAATCCGATAAAACAGGAATACCATAGATTAACCACAGAAGAGCCACAGCACGTACTCAAAAATGATGTAAGTACATTGTTTTAAATAATAAGCAGCTCACAAAGAAAAATTAATCACAATTTATAATCAGAAGCAAATAGAATAATTATAAAAAATTATTTACACATAATCTCGTTTTATTTACATCAAGTTTATAATATAACTTTGTGATTCAGGTACCGGCAGATAATTTTGTTCCTCCTGAAACAGAAAACGAAATAGACGAATCTTGTATGACTGAAAATGGAACTCTAGAACATGTTAATTCCGTAAATGCTTTACCATCTACAAGTCAGATAAACGACGTACCTTGCGAGATAATGGTTAAATACACAAAGAGAACGAAACATGCGTTATTGGAGTCTACGCTTAACAATCCCACTATAGACGAGACCGGTTCGCACTGGTACGTTTGCCCGTTCTGTAACGAAGCAGCTTTGGAAACGACCAATCTAGCCGTACACTTTGAACAGCATTTCTGTTGCTGTCCTTGCGGTTTATATTTTACTAGTGTCGAGATGTTAAATTTACATAAGGAGCAATGCAATGTATATAAAACGGAGGTAGTCGATAAAGAAAAGAAGGACGCACAGTTAAACGTAGTAACGCCACAAGAGAGCAATGACAATCAAGAAGGGCAGAAGAAGCAGTCGACGGTGAAACGGAAGTGGACCGCGAAAGTGTGTACGGAATGCGGCAAGCAGTACAGAACGAATTACAAGTTGCAGGAGCATATGCGCAAACACACGGGCGAAAAGCCGTTTCAGTGTACGACGTGTGAGAAAGCCTTCCGCAGTAAAATCGGCCTCGCGCAGCACACGGCTACACACACGGGCCAGTTCGATTACAACTGCTCGACGTGCGGCAAGGGATTTCAATGCAAGAGCTATCTCATCGTACATCAAAGAGTACACTCGGACTTGAAACCGTACCCATGCACCAAGTGCGGTCAGCACTTCAAGACGAAACAGTCGCTGCTGGACCACGAGAACCGTCACCTCGGCGTGAAGCCGTACATGTGCGAGATCTGCGGTCGTGGTTTCATCACCAAAGGCCTCTGCAAGAGTCATCAGAAGATCCACTCTGGTACGGACAATCGCCAGTATCCATGCGCGGTGTGCAACAAGATGTTTGTCAGCAAGAGTTACCTGAACACGCACCTGCGCATCCATACGGGCGAAAAACCGTACCTGTGCGAGGTGTGTGGCAAAGGATTTCTTACGCGGGTCGACCTCAAGATCCATTCGACTATGCATACCGGAGAGAAAAGTTTCAAATGCGAATCTTGCGGAAAGGTATTTGCTCGACGCGCCGCGTTACGTTGCCATCGACGGTCGCATACAGGCGAACGTCCTTACAAGTGCGATGTTTGCGACAAGGCGTTCACACAATTCAGTCCGATGGCAATTCACAAGCGTTTACACACTGGCGAGCGGCCATACGAGTGCGACGTATGCGGCAAAGCCTTTGTGTCCAGGTCGACCATGATGTGTCATAAAAAGAAACATCATATTACGACGAATGCTGTACAAAAGGACGCGCTTGTGCCGCACAACGAAGATGCGGAGGTCAAGATGATTCTTTCGTCCGATATCATAGTCAGAGAAACACATGATGGGATCCAAATCACCGCGGATTGAGATTGTAAACGAAAATGACATTTCGAATTCTGCGAACCGCGTTCAAGCCGACAATTTGGGTGCTAAAAAAGTTTCATTCGCATTTGTTAGATAATGAACTGCTTTCATCACCATAGTGTATTCTATCAGTGTACATTGTCAAGAATTTTATATAAAGATATTTTTACAAGCAGTATAATTCTTATATGAAGATTGAAAGTTATCTCGAAGCATTAAAGTATAACATGATTTTATATATTCTATAATGATATCGTCTTTTAATTTTCTTTCCGAGACATCATATTGTAATTATTAATGATTAATGTAAATACAGATATTTCATAATTATATTATTTTCTAATACATTAAAATTTTAATTATTATTTGTTAACAAACAAAATAATTATAAAATTCTAGAAAGATCAGTATAAACGAATGAATGTATATTATTCGTAATTTCGGAAAGACTATTGCAAATTATACACATTAAATCGTAATATTTTAG